CTGACCTTTGCGGGATCTTCCAAGGCAGCCAGTTAACAAGTCACATCTAGAAATCCCGACCAATCATGATGTCAGGCAGGAGGACCAGTCAAAATGCCTAATGGCACTTGGCGGTTGGCGCCAATCCCTGCACACTCCCTAGGAGAGGTGGGCAGTTGCAAGGGTACATCAAGATGCCAGCTTAATACAAGTGGGCCAGGCTATCAATGTGGAGGGGGAGGTTAATCCAGCAGTAGGAATTTAGCATCTCTGTCAGAAAGTGGACAATAATTGGGTTGTTACATGTCATGACTGGCTGCTCGCCACATTGGGATGCACTGCCAACATTCGTCCCTGCCTATCCTCCGAGCCAGGCATGCCTCAGGCAGCCATCCTGACCTAGCTCCCTCAAATTTTCCCAGCCCCCTAATCGTGTCCAACCAGGCAGGGGAAATTCAGCCTGATGTGCTAACAAATTCAAATTTGTCTCATGCTTCAACAGTCTCCTTCAGGTTGCACGCTGTAGAATTGCATTAAAATCTGCAATTTTACAAAAAACATATATCTTTTATGAATTTGAGAGACATGTATGTTGCTGGCTAGGCTAACATTTAAAGCCCATCCCTAGGCGTCCTTGAGAAGGTGGGTGGTGAGCTTCTTGAACCACTGCAGTCCATCTAGAATAGGCCATCCACAGTGCTGTTGGGAAGGAAGTTCCAGGATTTTGACCCAGCGACACTGCAGGAACAGTGATATATTTCCAAGTCAGCATGGCATGTGGCTTGGAGGGAAACTTGCAGGTGGTGGTGTTCCCATGCATCTGCTGCTCTTGTCCTTTTAGATGGCAGAGCTCACGCATTTGGAAGGAGCTGCTAAATAACAGCACGTTCAGGCCTGTGAGTTGACGCCGTGCTAAATGTGGATTGACGTTTGCTTGGCTGTTGTTGAAGATTCATTCAAATCCTTGGAAGTTACTTTCTGCACATTATAAAGTTACTGATAAAAGTGGACTGCCATTGCAAAAAGCAGTCTCAATTAACACTTTAGAAGGATCCTGACTCTAAAACTGTTGTAATTTGATTGTACAACATCTTTCTCCGGGCATATTCCTTGGACTCATATATTAACCAATTGTACATGTAAAAGTATTCATGTGTGTTTACACAACTGTGCTCAGTTAGCTAGACGTCTAGCATGTGTTTCAGAATAAAGCCAACAACATGGGCTTGATCCTCACACTGGCTGTGGTAGTTCATTACCTTACCCCACACTTGAAGGGGGTTCCCCTCAAGCTACACATAACCAATTATGTCTCTCTAGTGGTGAGAAATGCCAATGGTGTCTTATGACTATGGTGAATTACTTTATCATACAAATCTCTTTATATGCTGATCTGATGTGTTGGCCAGATAATATCATTATGGTGTACCGTCTGAAATATTATTATTGAAGAACTAGTCTAATATAGACTTCAACTTTGAAACTCTTTAGAACATAGCTGTTTTAAACTTCCGAGTCAGAAGGTTGTGGGTTTGAATTCCACTTCAGTATTTGAGCATAGAAATCAACATTAACTGTACAACACTGCTGTCAGATGCTGTCATTTGGATGAGATGTTAAACTGAGGTTCTGCCTTCCCTCTCAGATGGTTCAAAACAATTGCATAACACTATTTCGAGGAGAAGGGGAGTTCTCCCCAATGTCCTGGGACCAATATTTATCTCTCAATTAACCTTCCAAAATTAGATTGGTCGGTATCACACTGCTGTTCGTGGGAGCTTGCTGTAGGCAAAATGGCAGCTGCAAGTCCTACGTTACATTGGCTGTAACGTGTTCTGGAACATTCTGTGGCTATGAATGGTGCTATATAAATGTGATCTGCCTATTTTGTAATTAGTCTGCAGTCATGGAGATAAATTGTAGAGCTCCAAACGCTGCCCAAGCAGTGTTAGACTCAGTGCTAGTGGCTTGACTGTATTACCCACTGACAAATTCTTCTTCATAATAACCCAATCTCAGCAGGTCATATGTTCTCTCTCGCTCTGTTTACAACTCCATTTATAATTTCTCCTATCTGCCATGCTTCCTTTTGACAACATGAGCTGCTATTCCCTGATAACGTCTACGTGATTTGATTGAACTTGGAGTACTTTGCAATCTGCCCCATGTTTGCTTACCTGTACAACTGACATTTGGAGACATCTGGTGGAGCTCTATGGATCCTACACACTGTACAGATTATACAAAGCTCTACAGTGCCGCACAGAATCACAGAATTGTTATGGTGCAGAAGGAGGCCGTTACTATCCAAATAACCATCCAATGCCTGTCTTGAATGCCTCAATTGAACCTGCCTCCTTCGCATTTCCAGGCACTGCATTCCAGACCCTAACTACTTGCTCTCACATCACCCTTGCTTTGTTTGCACATCGTTTTAAATCTCTGCCCTTTGGTTCTTTTTTTCTTTTGGAAGTAGGAACAGCTTGTCCCTATGTACTCTGTCCAACCTGGTCATGATTTTGAAAACCTCTATCAAATCTCCTCTTGGCCTTTCTCTTTCCAAGGAGAACAGTCACAATTTCTTCAATCTATGACTGTGATGTGCCTGAAGTGTGGTTGTCATTGCTGTACCCAGAGCAGGGACTCCTTGAGGCTTCGGACACCTTGCAGAGATTGTGCAAAAGCCCTGGAGCTGTGTTTGAAGACCCCTTGTAGAGAGGATGAACGCTATGTAATTTCTATTTTTTCTCTTCCTGTAATGCAAAATGGCACCGGATGGTGGCAATAAAACACGTTTCACTGTATCTTTCTAGATACAAGAGACAACAAATAACTCATAACTGGAGTTTCTCATTCCTGGAACTATTCTTGCAAATCATTTCTGCGCACTCTCCAGTGCATTCATATCTTTCCGACAATGTGAGGCCCACAATGGTACACAACGTTCTGGCTGAGTTTGACAACTATCTTGTCTGAGTTGTGCCCTGATGAATAAAGCTAAGGACACTGTATGCTTTATTAACTGCTCTCTGCATCTGTTCTGCCACATTCAATGATCTGTGCACATACAAACCCAGGTCCCACTGCTCCTGCATCCCCTTTAGAATTGTACCTCACAGCACCAGTACTTTGTTTGGGGGCCAATTTAATCTTGTCCAGACTGGTAAAGAGGACAATAATACAGTTAAAAAGGTGGTGCATGGCTTACTTTCCTGGCTGCATCACTGTTGCAGCTACTCCCATTTTGAAATGAGCCTACTTCTGGGTGGATGGAGCAGTAGGGCCCCATTTCTTAAAGAGATTGCAAACCAGACACACATAAAAACAATATGAAAACAAACCCAGCAAAAGTGCATTTGAATCTATTTTCATTGGTCTCCCAGCTTGTGTCAGCCCTTCAAGCCTGTCCCACCATTCGAAAAGATCATGGCGGATCTTCCCTCTCAGTGCAGCTTCCTGCACTTTCCTTTCATTCCCTTTGTACTTGATTGCTGTCTTGAATGTACTCAACGGTAGAGCATGCAGAGGCAGGGTGGATAACTCTGGGTGAGAAGCTGGGGTGGGGGGAGAAGCTGGGGGTGGGGTGGTGTATGAAGGGGAGAAGCTGTGGCAGGGGGAGTGAAGGGGTGAAACTGGGGAAGGGTGAGGAGCTGG